CAAATAATTTGTATGTTTGTTGCCATTTACTGCAGTATATGGCTACGTTAAATATCAAGACTAGTTTAAGGATAAATTAAGAGTGCGTTTTACAAAGAATATCAAGTCTAAAACAGATTTCTGCATATTTTAAAAGACAGAAGGTTTAAAGATATGACAGTACGTAATTGAGTTTAAGTCAATACAACAGACTTAAGTATCTTTGTGAAACCGGGGCCAGTTATATAATATCAAACACTTTAGGCCCTATAAAAATTTGAACTATTTGAGCAAAAAATGTGATTTTTTAAACAAACAAGCCATAATAGTTGACAAACTACCGTCCACACCCCCTAGCACCGGCTTAAGCAGAATTAAACATTGAACATGAAAGGGTACAATTTTGAATTTAGAAACATCCGCAGATGTGTTCATATGGCGGTTATCATTTAAGTTGAATTTAAATTTGAAGTATTATTTTTATATGCATTTTGCTTTAATAACCAGTTTTATGTTTTGTTACCAGTGACATTGACCGTTGACCTCATGATAGGTGAGTGGTGAATATTTATCAAGGTGTCTGATCCATAATTCATATTTTAATACACTTGTTACTATATAAAGTAACAAAATTGCCTATGATTTCAACTGATTATGAGTGTCACGTGACCTATTATGAGTTTGCGGCCCGGGGCCGAGAACTAGTTTTATCCTGTCACTTGTATCAATTTCGGCCCGATAACAAGGTGCCGTATATTTTTACTGATCTACGACATTTGATCACGTGGTATGCATGTTTGCCGGACTACTTTTCAAGACTGTCGTTAAATCTTCTGTGTGTAGACTGGGACATAAGATAAGAATTATGGATCACACATTGATTATCTTATGTCCCAGGGTGCCGTTTTATCAACAAAGACGGTCGTAACTGCGATCTTATCTTACGACCGATACTTACGACCGAGCTTACGATTTCCTCATGACCGTTTTATGAACATGGTCGTACGCCCTCGGTCGCAGCTAAGACCTGGTTTTCGGTCGTACGACCGTATAAACAGTGTAGAATAACGAATTTTGGCAACGTTGATAAAACTAAGTTTGTTTATTTTATTTTACTCTATAATTTTTCAAGCGAAATAAAAATTATTAAAAGTGAAATAAATGTAAAACTTAACTCGTTTGCGATATTAAAATACCGTACTTGATTTGATTGTTTTGCACGTGCTGTTTGGCGCTACATTGTGACGTCACGTAAAAAATACTTTAAACGTCTGTACAGCGTTAACGACTGAATAAAAGATATTGGTGTTCGAATTCAGTTTCTTAGACCATTTTCATTCATTCTAGATAGTTTTCACAACAAAATTCGACAAAAAATTGTTTTTATTTATCACATTTTCAAACAAAATGGCGCCCTCAATGTGAAAATACACAGGGAGATAATAAGAACGGCGAGTGCATTGTTGTAGAAAAATTAGGACCTTCTTTGTTTATATAGAAACATTTAAGATAGTGTGATTAAAGGTAGTTTGCCTAATAAAATTCTTTAAAAAAACGGTGACAGGATAAATAGAATAATAGATTGGTGCCGTGGATAGATAGAGGATATTCAAGATTTTTCTATAAATACATGATTTATTTTCATCGAGTGGTATGAAAATAAATATTTCATGAGTGGCGGTAGCCACGAGTGAAATATGGTAATTTTCATGCCACAAGATGAAAATAAATCATGTATTTATAGAAAAAACTTGAATTTTCTGTTTATTATATATATTTTTCTCTTTCTGGACATTAAAATTTGCAAGACTTTCCCTTAAATTTTGAGTACTGGCAGAATTTAAAAGAAAGTAGTCCGGCAAGACACCAGTGAAAATATGGAAAATATGTTTCACTGCAGTGAAAAATAAATTTTTACAGTGATAATACGGAAAATGAAAATACGCATTTTATTTCATCAATATATATTTCTCAATATTTCATTTCAAAGTATATAATAAAGAAAGTTTATCTGGCTCTGCTCCGGAATTTATTGGGTTCGCCTTCGGCTCACCCAATAAATTCCTCTGCCTCGCCAGATAAACTTTCTCCATCCACGGCACCAACCTATTATTCTCTATATCAGCCCGCAGAACATGTGCACGTGCACAAACTGAAACAATGACGTCATATTTTACGTCATCAAACAGTTAACTGTAATAGTGAAAGTAGGTTGTCAGCACGAATCGCTTTATTTTTATTATGAGAGCTTAAGCGTATTTAGTACAAACACATTTTTGTTACTATTTAAATTTGAAGAAATAATACGACATATTCATTCCGAAAAAAAAAATGAAAGTAAAACTTGCTTCTAGATTCTACTGCTTTGAACACACAAACAGTTAACGTCTCTGTACAGAACAGTGGAAGATTACGGTAGACAAGAATTTCAACGAAAGAACTTCAAAGTATTTTGTTGTTGTTGTTTTTTTTTTTAAATGCTACTTTTAGATTAACCAAGTGTATTAAAGACATTAATACACCTCAGAGTAGGGCCGGAAGGTGATAATCGGCCCTGAATGAATAATGGCCCTCGGGTCCATTATTCATTTTGCGGGCCGATTATCACCTTCCGGCCCTCTCCTGTCGTGTATTAACCTCTTAATATAGGTGCTGGGTCCATGCAATTAAATTTATGGCCATTTAATATAATTATAGATTCATATGCCCTTAAACTTTGAACTTTTTACTTGAAAGCTGATTTAGCAAACAAAATAAATCATCAACAAGAAGTACTTCCTTCATGGCCAAGCTTTGAGAATTGAGTACCGCTCAAGCCGGTGCTAGGGGCGTGAGGGATGTTGCACTTATTCAGTATCCTTCATGTACAGACTCAATCAAACCGAGTCTGCAATTCTCTTGTTATTTTGTTGTGATTAATGCTTCCGAGGGATCACTTTGTTTTCAGATTTTTATACTTCACAACAGGAGGTGTCAAGTGCTGGCAGCTGTAAAAAGTTGCCCCGTTCTTCACTTCAGTGTTGTTATATTTTTCTGGTCCTTCGGAATCATTGATGCCAGCATCATTGAGTGTTTGGAATTGAGTACCGCTCAAGCCGTTGCTAGGGGGCGTGAGGGATGTTGCACTTATTCAGAATCCCTCGTGTACAGACTCAATCAAACCGAGTCTGCAATTCTCTTGTAATTTTGTTGAGATTAATGCTTCCGAGAGATCACTTTGTTTCCAGACTTTTAACATCAGTTCCAAGCTCAAAATACCTTGACATTGACTTGTCCGTATACCTAAACTACAACACACACACAGACATCTCAAGAATTACATCAAATGCAAGCAAACCCCTAGGATTCATAAAACGGAATATCAATACAAAAAATGAAAAGTAAATCAAATAGCTAGCTTATAAATACCTTTAAAGACCCCAGCTAGAATATGTTTGGAGCCCCTACACACAGTCAAACATCCGAAAAATAGAGATGGTACAAAGACAAGCGACACGCTGGGTAAAACACGACTACTCCGCTCGATTTGTAACAGTTTCAGCCATGCCGAAAAACTTGGCTGGCGTTCTCTCGAGCATCGCGGATTAGACTTTACAATTATTATGTTGTTTTTTAATTTACCATATTATATAGTATCCATTTGTCTTCCCACCTTAAGTAAAACGGACGTACGTCAGGGCGGACCATGGGACAGGACGGACTGTACCAGGGCGGACCGTATGTTTGGACGGGCGGACTATGCGGACCGTGACTCAAGACGAGGCGGACCATGTATTTTTTCAAATTAAATATTGCTATTTAATTTTATATATATATTTCGGCATCAGTATCATCCTAAACATGTCGTATATATAAGCATTTTCATATTGAACAGATTAATATTTAAAAATCTAAACATCGATCTTATACTAGTTAGATCTACATATGTATGTATGTATGTATGTATGTATGTATGTATGTATGTATGTATGTATGTATGTATGTGTGTGTGTGTGTGTGTCTGTATGTATGTATGTATGTATGTATGTATGTATGTATGTATGTATGTATGTATGTATGTATGTATGTATGTATGTATGTATGTATGTATGTATGTATGTATGTATGTATGTATGTATGTATGTATGTATGTATGTATGTATGTATGTATGTATGTATGTATGTATGTATGTATGTATGTATGTATGTATGTATGTATGTATGTATCTATGTATGTATGTATGTATGTATGTATGTATGTATGTATGAATATATGTATGTATATATGTATATATGTATATGTATATATGTATGTATGTATGTATGTATGTATGTATGTATGTATGTATGTATGTATGTATGTATGTATGTATGTATGACTTGTATGTATGTATCATGTGCACCCGACATAAGGCGGATTTCGGATTAATCTAACTTTATATTTAATATTATAGATATTGACCCATAAGTAAAACTCCGTCTAGGCTTACTAGACATATGCATCCCCTCTCTCTCTGAGGAAAATACAGGTTACATCAGACTACCATTAGTTCTCGTTTCCCGTCCCCTCCACTGTATCACACTTGGAACCATCTGTCAACGAACATTGTCACCCTGGCAGACCAATTCAATCAGGCAGTGATTAAGAGTTGACTTGTTGTGTTTTTACTTTTAAATATTTCTTTCACTCTTATTAATAAAAACATTTAAAAAATGATTTTAAGTTTTCAAATGTTTCTCACTATCCTGATAATGTTCATTCTCAGGTTTTTACTTTCTCTCACACCTTTCACTGACACATCCGACGTGTACCATCCCGTCTATAAGTATAACACTCGCGAGAGGGGTTGGCAGTTATCAGAAATAGATAGATGGATATCAGGTAGAACTTATAACTTGAGGTATCACATCCACGTGCTATTATTCAATGCATTTTACCAAGAAGGTAAAAAAGTCTCACGCCATTGCCAACGTCAATGCCGCCAGCGACTATTCTTATTTTTTACCTATCTAGTAAAGGCCTCTGATGTCTCTTATGAAAAGCGCATGCGCACAAGCGGAACATTTGACTGAAGAAAAACACTGCAAACATCGCATCGTATGGTATTTTGTTTAAAATGAAAAAGAAATCGAAATAATATATCTATCAAATGATTGCATTTAAAATGTATTAGTTAAGTGCAAGCTTTGCACATGTTGAAGACAGCTTGACAATCACGAATCAAAACTTTACGGCCTGAATTTTCACTATTCGTACCCATTAAGTTTCGTACCGATTTTGAATTTGATTAGAATATGTGATGCGTCATAATTGTCGCTTTGAAGAAATAATTTTCTTTGAATTTGTCATATTTCTTAAATTTTAATTGAATACATATTGTAAATATCATTGCCAATAATCCCATGGGACATAAACAGGAAATGATAGTCCTATAAATATGACGTTGCTTTGAGATATTTAATATTGCTTCTGGGCAAAGAAAATCTGGCGGTACAGAAAAACACTTAATCTTAAGTCAATGTATAAATACATTGATTTTGACCTATTCATGAACAAAAAATAAATTTATACCTTTTAACAAAATAATTAAACTGTCGCATCCAAAATATAATGATTAAATTCTCTTATTTAATTACAGGGATTTTTTCAAGGATTTTGGGAGCATGACGCATACCCATGGAATTGGGAATTTTAGCAGTGTTTTGTTACACTGAAATTTTGCAGTGATTAAATGGATGCAAACAATTTCTGTCTATGATGGCATCTTCAAACATTTTAAGCACTATTACAGTGAAGAAGCCCTTATTTGCAAAGATTTTAGAATTTTTATTCAATATTTTTATTTTGTAACTTTCAATTGGGAATTTTTTGTGGATTGGGAAAATAATATACTATTTTCAATTGGGAATATGACCCAATAACGGCTATGAAATAAGCTCCAAAAAATCCCTGAATTAAATTGCTTATACAGCTGACAAACAAATGACTGTCACACAGTGCACGAAATCTGATTGGCTAATTCAAATGCAAGCATTTAAATGAGTCAAAATTTCAAACAAAATATTTTTGAACAAAATATTTGCCCATTGACCTTTTCGAAAACCTAGCTAAACACCGTTTTCCGGTATGTTACAGATTTAGCTCTGTGGAATTACACCAAATGAAGTACATAACACAATAACATGATATTTCTATTTTTCTATCATTAATTTACCGTTTAAGGTGAAAACAATTGATGTGTTTGAAAACTATCAATATTCCTTTAATATCTATTGCAATTTTTTTCAAAAAATTAATTGTTTATGATAAAAATCAATAAAATTAAAACAGTCATAGTTGCATCTTCCATAATAAGTAAAGATATTTTCTGCGTAAACTTGTGTATTTACTTTATTTCTTTGTATGTAATTATTTATACAATGATATTTTATTATTTTCTTACAAAGAAATAGCTATTTTATTTCACTTTAATTAAAAAAAAGGCCAAAATATTTTGTTCAAAAATTTGGAATCAATCTGCAAAGCGCTTATCTGTCCTGCCCTGTCCTGTCCTCCATTATTATACACCTCTTGTTAGATGGAAACACTGGAAGTGTCTCTGGAAAATCTCAAGGTTGTTACCCAGGATCAAACCGGGACCTCAGGAGTGGCAGCCAGTGGTCTAAGTTCTAACCAACTGAGCTATCATGCCACCTTTACTTATAAACCAGTATGACCGATAGGCAAAAATAGATTGATGTTTGTTTTTTATTTTACATTGCAGCGTTTTTTTTTCCTCTACTTTAGGAATGGTGCCGGTACCAGACTGATTGGGAAAAAATGCATTATTTTGACTTAAATTTGGATTTTTTTCATGCATTTTTTCAGCTACAATTAAGATTAGTCATCATGAATAAAGATAGCTTACAGCTTCCACTGTCCAGGTAGAACTATTGAGTGGTGATTTATATGAAAATTTTGAATTTAAATGATTTCAGAGAAATCACTTGGCCTTGTGGCAATTTTGAACAGCCATTTTGGGAATTTAAACATTGGAAATTGGGAATTTAATGTCTATTTTCTATTGGGAACAGTACCGTTTTAGGATAGTAGTTATATAAAAAAAAAACCACTGCATTGATAACTACATTGTTTGAGAGTTTTTGTTAATGATTGAGCATGATATTGAAAGAAAATTTGATAAACTTTTGAATAAAGCATGAAAGGTCTTGACAATAGACATTTTTGAACTGTTTATGGTGCTATGGGTTTATGTGCAATTTCTATAAAAGTATTAGACGTTGGGTTTGACCGACATAAACTATAATAATATAAAAAGCCCATAACATCTGATATTTTGGACTAAGGAAATAATTGCAAGACAGTAGATATATTCAAAATCATAGTCCAATGTATTAAATGTAATGGGCTTGTTATAGTTTATGATGGTCAAGCTTGAGGTCTAATAGATATTGCTCATAAATGCATAGCAACATAAACAATTGAAAAAATGTTTATTGCTAACCTTTCAAGCTTTAATCAAAATTTTATCAAATAATGCTCAATCATAAATAAAAAATCTCAAACAGTGTTATTGCCAATTTAATATAAGATAAGTTTTGCCTATCCACAAAACTGGTTAAGTAAATTGCTCTACAGATTGATTCCAAATTTTTATATAAAAAAAATATATTCATATATGCTGACAGTGCAATGTGATTATGTGTGCATAGGCAAATATTTCTTTCAAAAATATTTTGTTTGAAACTTTTGACTCATTTAAACACTTGCATTCAGATTTAGGGCACTGTGACAGTTTGACGGTCATTTGTTTATCGGCTGTATAAGGAATTTAATATTAAATATAAAAAAAGGATTTAAACATGATTTTTCATATTTGACAGTTTGACTATTTTATTAAAAGGTTATTTCTATTTTACTTTTGTTCATGAAGAGCTCAAAATTAATTTATATGCTGAATTACGTGTTTTATCGTTTCGCAAGCAAATTTTATGCTATGGGTTATGAGCATAAATTCAATATGACGTTTAGCTTTGCCAAGAAGTAAAATGACTCAAAACAATGTCATATTTGGACTTTTCGAAATCCAAGCTAAAAACTTTTTTTTTTGGTTTGTATTGTACATTCCAGATTTGGTTCACCTATAACTAACTTAAGAAAGAAAGACTTGGTCACTTCATACTGAACCACTAGCCGATAGCATTAAAAAAAAAAAGAGAAGGGTTTAAATGTTTATTAATTTAATCCAATATTGTTTAAAAAAATTTAGATACACACATTTTGAATTTCAGATTTATAAAGATGGACCAAACAGATCAGTGTTTCATTTGTAAAGACAATATTAGAGCAAAGCAACAAAAACTACAATGTACAGGTTGTTTTGTGAGCATTCATAGGACATGTACCAGTAAGTTTGACTATTTAAAGCATTGTGTTTATAATTACTTTATCATTTAATGATCATAGGAATGCTTATTTGATAAAAATACATTTATGTATCATTTTATATCTGCCTGATATTTGTATACAAGGCGCTGTGTCTATAGGTAATTCATTTTTATGAATCAAACGAAGTGTTAGCTATGAGGTGCAGTTTTCTTTTTTGATTTTACTGTACATTGTCTGAAAAAAAGAAGGAAAAACAACATACGAACATGTTAAATGTTAAAAAAAAGTAAATTGATATATCCTGAGAGGCGTCCGTATCCGAGTGGTTAAGGTCGTTGACTTCAAACCACTTGCCCCTAACTGCTATGGGTTTGAATCCCGGCAGGGACTTTGGATTCTTTCATGTGAGGAAGCTATCCAGCTAGCTTACGGAACGTCGGTGGTTCTACTCAGGTGCCCGTTTGTGCATGAAATAATGCGCGGAAGGGCACCTGAGGTCTTCCTCCACCAGTAAAGCTGGAATGACGCAATATGACCTATACTGTGTCGGTGTGATGTAAAACCCAATCAAAACAAACAAATTCATATCCTGATCAAATATTTTTTTTATGAGCATGTTAGAATGGAGATAATTATTATGTCAATTCATATTGGTTTTTTTTATTAAACCTTAATAATGCTATATATATATATATATATATCTGAAATGGACTTGTCCATCTTTCATTCGGACAAACCATCATTCTTAGTGACAATATCATAGTAAGAATTGCCTGAATAGCAAACACTGTGCAGTCCATGATCAAACATCACAGAAGTGCTGGCTTACTGATCTTTGTCTGCACTAGTGGCATGGGTATAATCCAGTGCTGTCAGTAGGCTATTTCATGTTAATTTATCGTGTTGTTCTGAATGGTTTCATTGTTGGACCCTTGAATCTGCAAACATTGTTAATTTATCCTGTTGTTCTGAATGGTTTCATTATTGGACCCTTGAATCTGCAAACATTGTTAATTTATCGTGTTGTTCTGAATGGTTTCATTATTGGACCCTTGAATCTGCAAACATTGTTAATTTATCGTGTTGTTCTGAATGGTTTCATTGTTGGACCCTTGAATCTGCAAACATTTTTAATTTATCGTGTTGTTCTGAATGTTTTCATTGTTGGACCCTTGAATCTGCAAACATTGTTAATTTATCGTGTTGTTCTGAATGGTTTCATCCTTGGACCCTTGAATCTGCAACATTGTTAATTTATCGTGTTGTTCTGAATGGTTTCATTATTGGACCCTTGAATCTGCAAACATTGTTAATTTATCGTGTTGTTCTGAATGGTTTCATTGTTGGACCCTTGAATCTGCAAACATTGTTAATTTATCGTGTTGTTCTGAATGGTTTCATTATTGGACCCTTGAATCTGCAAACATTGTTAATTTATCGTGTTGTTCTGAATGGTTTCATTATTGGACCCTTGAATCTGCAAACATTGTTAATTTATCGTGTTGTTCTGAATGGTTTCATTATTGGACCGTTGAATCTGCAAACATTGCAATATTTTATAGCAACATGCTCAAATTCCAAACATTTTCTTTGATTTGATTCCTTTTTGCAGTAATACAGTGTATAAGCATTTTTTATGTTAATTGTTTTGCTGATTTTTTTTCCAGAAATGACTCAGGCAAAATACAGGGAATATGTTAAAGGTAAGTTAGTTACCAGTTTACTAATAATATTTCATTAAACTCTGTCTACATTGTGTGCTATCAATTAAGAAGCTCCACTTATGTCTATATTTTTATACCCCCACAAACAAAGTTTAGGGGGGGTATATAGGAGTCAGCTTGTCGGTCGGTCGGTCCGTCGGTCGGTCCACATCAAGGTTTCCGGACGATAACTAGAGTTTGGAATGAGGTATTGTAATCAAACTTGGTATATAGCAACCTTATGTGGAAACTCCGGTTGGTATTGCATTTGGACCCCCTGGGGTCAAGGTCAAGGTCACCGTTACTAAAAATAGAAAAATGGTTTCCGGACAATAACTAGAGTTAGGAATGAGATATTGTTATCAAACTTTGCGTATAGCAAGCTTATATGAAGACCTGGGATGGTATTGCATTTAGGCCCCCTGGGGTCAAGGTCAAGGTCATGGTTACTAAAAATAGAAAAATGGTTTCCGGACAATAACTTGAGTTAGGAATGAGATATTGTAATCAAACATGGTGTATAGCAATCTTATATGAAGACCTGGGTTGGTATTGTATTTGGACCCCCTGGGGTCAAGGTCAAGGTCACTGTTACTAAAAATAGAAAAATGGTTTCCGGACAATAACTAGAGTTAAAAATGAGATATTGTTATCAAACTTGGTGTATAGCAAGCTTATATGAAGACCTGGGTTGGTATTGCATTTGGACCCCCCTGGGGTCAAGGTCAAGGTCACCGTTACTAAAAATAGAAAAATGGTTTCCGGACAATAACTTGAGTTAGGAATGAGATATTGTAATCAAACTTGGTGTATTAGCAAGCTTATATGAAGACCTGGGTTGGTATTGTATTTGGACCCCCTGGGGTCAAGGTCAAGGTCATGGTTACTAAAAATAGAAAAATGGTTTCCGGACAAAAACTAGAGTTAGGAATGAGATATTGTTATCAAACTTGGTGTATAGCAAGCTTATATGAAGACCTGGGTTGGTATTGCATTTGGACCCCCTGGGTTCAAGGTCAAGGTCACCATTCCTAAAAATAGAAAAATGGTTTCCGGACAATAACTAGAGTTAGGGATGAGATATTGTAATCAAACTTTGTGAAAAGCAAGCTTATTTGGAGACCCCAGTTGGGATTACAATTAATTGAAATAATTCTTTGTACACAGTTGATAGTTTGTGTTGAAAGTTTTCTTCAGACTACTTATTTTTCAAAAAGTTGCTGGTGGGGGTATTAATCACCTTCAGTGATAGGTCTAGTTATTATTTGATGTCGGTTGTTGACCAATAACTTATGTGCAGAATTTCCGGTTGTAGGCTTAATCTGTTTTCTGTTCAAGAATAATCAATTTAATTTAAATTGTGAAAAATGATCTCAAAATGAAAGCATAAAATTTGCAACATGTTAAGACAATTTTTACTCAAGTTTCGTTTAGAATCCCACACACATAAACTGATTTTCCATTTTAATCTGTATATTTTTCCATTTTATGTTAGTTACCCAGTTGATCTACATGTACATGTATGCAAAAATTACTAATTGCAGTTCTTTTTGATGTTTTAGATTTAATGATTAAAATAAATTACATTTAGTACAAAAAATCAAAATTTGTCATCACTTATACAGTGTTTATTGTTTTATTTTTAGCTCACCTGTCACAAAGTGACAGGGTGAGCTTTTGTGATCGCTTTTCGTCCGGCGTCCGTCCGTCCGTAAACTTTTACTTTAAATGACATCTCCTCATAAACCACTAAGCCAATTTCATCCAAACTTCACAGGAATGTTCCTTTGGTGGTCACCTTTAAAAATTGTTCAAAGAATTTAATTCCAATTAGAACTCTGGTTGCCATGGCAACCGAAAGAAAAAAACTTTAAATATCTTCTTTTAAAAAACCCTAAGAGCTAGAGCTTAGATATTTGGCATGAAACATCTTCTAGTGAGTGTCTACCAAGTTTGTTCAAATAAAAGCCCTGGGGTCAAAATTGGCTCCGCCCCAGGGGGTCATTGATTTTCCCTATATGCATATAGTAAAAACTTAAAAAATCTTCTTATAAAGAACCCAAAGAGCTAGAGCTAAGATATTTAGCATGAAACATCTTCTAATGAGTGTCTACCAAGTTTGTTCAAATAAAAGCCCCGGGGTCAAAATTGGCCCCGCCCCAGGGGGTCATTGATTTTCCCTATATGCATATAGTAAAAACTTAAAAAATCTTCTTTTAAAGAACTCAAAGAGCTAGAGCTAAGATATTTAGCATGAAACATGTTCTAATGGGTGCCTACCAAGTTTGTTCAAATAATAGCCCTGGGGTCAAAATTGGCCCCGCCCCGGGGGTCATTGATTTTCCTTATATGTGTATAGCAAAAACTTAAAACTCTTCTGTGAAAAAACCCAAATAGCTAGATTTTGGATATTAAGCATGAAACATCTTCTAGTAAGTGTCTACAAAGTTTGTTCAAATAAAAGCCCTGGGGTCAAAACTGGCCCCGAAGGCCTATATACAGGTGAGCGACTTCAGGGCCATCATGGCCCTCTTGTTTCTTTTGGATTCAATGTGTTAAATCTTTAGTCATTTTAAAATCCAAATTTTGGATCAGGCAAGATCCTATTTGCCTAAAAACTATAGGTCTAACTTGTATGCGTTTTGTTTACTATTTCAGATAATCAAGTAAATAGGATAAAATGTGATATCTGTGATGCAAGTGGTAAAAGTATGTATATATTGTATATATTGTATTTATTATACTCTCTTTCAAAGAAATGGGGATATATTAGTTTGCAAATGGTGTATGTCAGTCGATAGACCACTTCATTTGCATTCAATAACATAGAACTATTTGACCCACTGCCTTCAAACTGCATATTAGGATCATTGCTCTCATTGAGTTGAAGACACCTATGGTTTTTGGGTGCCATTGCATAAAGGTCAGAGTCACGGTGACTTTGAATGTGAAAACTGTTTCTGGTCAATAAGGGTGAGCCATATGACCTACAGCCTACAAACTTCATAGGATGATTACCCTGATTAAGAAGAAGACCTTATATGTATTATGTTGATGGCAAAGTTCCTAGTAGCCACGAATGTGAAAACTGTTCCTGCAAAAAATCATTTGGGCTCTGATGCCAGTTGCCCCTCACTGCTGTGGGTTTGAATCCCAAACAGAGTTTGAACGAGCAATGTAATTGGATTTAAGTCTTTAAATGGCATTTTCTAATGAACTGAAAGATGAATTTCTGAAATGAATTGAACTATGTGCCCACTAAAGCTTATTGTCAAAAAACAAATACAGAAGTAAATGTTAATTTCCATCTTTGTTTGCATTTCATATAACTGAAATCATTTGCTTCCTTAAGTCATAATAAGTTACATGTTGCTATTTGAACATTTCATATTGGTTCTGCTTGAGACAATGTAAAAATAATTTATGCATGCAAATCAGTGATTCTTCATATGAAATATGTATATAATACTGTCAATGTTTGATTATTTTGACAGTTATTGAAGAGCATTAAAAACAATGTTGTCAAGAGCAGATAAAATGATAAACAGTTAACATGAAACACTAAGAATCTGTTATTTCCAGTTAAATATTGCTGTATTCTACTTAAGTGCAAATAAGTTAATCAAAACTTGTATTACATGGACATAAAAAAACAAGCAGTAATTAGTGCCTTACATACAATAACATATGTTTAAGATATTTAAATATCTTCACTGCTGTCTCAAGGATAAAATGGTAATTAGATGACGGGAAATAATATTTCCATTAAAAATTGAAATATTAATGGATTTGATTGTAATTGTAGAAACATAAAAATTTACTCAAATTATTTAGCATTTACAAGACATTTACAAGACAATATAAAACAAAATTCTCTTAAACGTTTTATATTAAATGAATTAGTTTTTAGAAGTTTTAATTAATGAACGAAGGAATTACAATCCAGGGATCTCGGAGCTAATATGTCTAATGAACTGTGTTGTCAATGTCTGAAATGCAATTATCCTAGTAATCTTTACAACCTTTTAAATAGAGTATAAGTAAATTCACAGTATGCTTGTTTGTTTCATTACAGTACAGATAAAAGATTTGATTGATTTGATTGATAAAAGACCAAGTCCACGATCCACAGGTGAAAATAGCATGGAAATAGGTGCAATCACTTCACCATCAGAAAGAGACAGGGTTGCATCCTTGACTGGCAGTGCAATATATAGACCTGCAGGAACCAGTCCAGTCCAAATTGCATTGTCAGCATCTGCCAGAACCAGTCCGGTCCAAAATGTTGTGTCTACATCTGCAGGGACACAGTCTATTACATCATCAGCTGTTATCGTCCAGAGTCCATTGCTTAACTCTACTGTAGTGTCACCATCAATCACAGGGCAGAGTTTAACACTTACATCCTCGGCACTACCGAATATACCTACATCCACTGTTGCCCAGAGTACATTATCAACTGCCACTGGACTTCAAAGTACAATGTCTACATCAACTGAAGGTCCAAGCTTAAGTTCCTCATCCCCTACAAGTTTGAGCAGAGTGAGCACAGCAAATGGTAAGAGAAGTCAGGTGTATAAATAAAGCCTTTATGATTGTCCCCTGACAAAATGACATAGGGTTAAGAGTTGCATGTGTATGTTTGTCGGAAATATTTAGCAATTTTTAAAGAACATGTTATACATGCTGTACATGTTATTATGAATGGCCTTTGCAGTTAGTTTCAGATCAGATTGATCTTCCATGTATTGCAGGAGTTATTGTTCCTGAACTGAAAGAAACCCAGACAATACAGAAGAAAAATATAGTAAAATGTCTGGAGAAACCACTGGACTTTTCACATTGTCCATGCGTTGGCTTGTATGCTTTTGAAATTCAATATGCTTCATGTCTAGTCCATAACTTCTATGTGCATTATGGGATTTCAATATAAACTGGTATGTATGATCACAAAAGGTCAAAGTTTCAGCAGGTGTTTTGTAATAAAGTCTTTAAGTGCACTTAGAGTTAGTTTCCAGTCCGTAAGTACTGCATGCATGATGATGAGATTTTGATTTCTCTGAAGACAGCTTCCTGGCACCAACCTGAGCTTGAATCTCAGGATTTTCATTGGCTAGGGTACATTCTGGTACCAGTTTTTGACCAATCAATCATATGAGATTTAGAGGATTTTCATTGGCTAGAGTACATTCTGGTACCAGTTTTTGACCAATCAATCATGTGAGATTTAGAGGATTTTCATTGGCTAGGGTACATTCTGGTACCAGTTTTGACAAATCAATCACCTGAGATCTCGAGGATTTTTATTGGCTAGAGTACATCCTGGTACCAGTTTTTAACCAGGTTTTCAACGAAAACCGGGTTAATGTAATGCCGAAGTCGGCGGGCGGGGCGGGCGGGCGTCAACTTTTGGTTTCCGCTCATAACTTGAGTTTGCTTTGGCCTATTGACACCAAAACTTGGTGTGTAGTAGCTTATATAAAGAGGCAGCTTGGGATTGCTAGCCAGGTGTCTGTGATCAAGGTCAAGGTCACTGTTACTAAAAATAGAAATTCATTTTCCGCTCAATAACTTGAGTTTGCTTTGACCTATTGACACCAAACTTGGTGTATGGATAGCTTATATCAAGAGGCAGCTTGGGATTGCTACCCAGGTGTCTGTGATTAAGGTCAAGGCCACTGTTACTAAAAATAGAAATTCAGTTTCTGCTCAATAACTTGAGTTTGCTTTGACCTATTGACACCAAACTTGGTGTATGGATAGCTTATATCAAGAGGCAGCTAGGGATTGCTACCCTGGTGTCTGTGATCAAGGTCAAGGTCACTGTTACTAAAAATAGAAATTCAGTTTCTGTTAAATAACCTTGAGTTTGCTTTGGCCTATTGACACCAAACTTGGTGTATAGATAGCTCATATCAAGAGGCAGCTTGGGATTGCTATCCAGGTGTCTGTGATCAAGTTCAAGGTCACTGTTACTAAAAATAGAAATTCAGTTTCTGCTCAAGAACTTGAGTTTGCTTTGGCCTATTGACACCTAACTTGGTGTATGGATAGCTTATATCAAGAGGCAGCTTGGGATTGCTACCCAGGTGTCTGTTGTCAAGGTCAAGGTCACAGATACTAAAAATAGAAATTCAGTTTCTGCTCAATAACTTGAGTTTGCTTTGGCCTATTGAAACCAAACTTGATGAATGGGTAGCTTTGACAAGAGGCAGCTTGGGATTGCTACCCAGGTGTCTGTGATCAAGGTTAATTTATTTAGTTTTCATGTTATAACTTGAGTTTGCTTTGACCTTTTGACACCAAACTTGCTGAGTTGCAGCTTTTGATTGCCACTAAGATATCTGGGAGCAAGCTCAAGGTCATTTGCTTACAATAGAATTTTCAGCTTCTACTCAATAACTTGAGTGCTTTTTGACCTATTGATTGCTGTCACATCAAAACTTGGTCGTTGAAAACCTGGTTTTCGTCGCATTGCGGCGCTTCTTGTTGACCAATGAATTACTTGCAATCTCAAAGATTTTCATTGGCTAGTGTACATTCTGGTACCAGCTTTTGATCAATGAATTACTTGCAATCTCGACAATTTTCATTGGCTAGAGTACATTCTGGTACCAGTTTTTGACCAATGAATAACTTGCAATCTCGAGGATTTTCATTGGCTAGAGTACGTACCAGTTTTTGATCAATCAATCATGTGAGATTTAGAGTATAAGCTGAGAATATCTATTTTTAACATTGGACCCAAAAGGTGTCATGTAAAGAAACATGGTTGCGATCAAGGTCCAACCCAAAGTCTCTTTTTAGCTCGACTATTCGAAGAATATGAGAGCTATTGTAGTCGCCCCGGCGTCAGCGTCCGCGTCGGCGTCTGCGTTGGTTAAAGTTTTTTGTAATGTCAAATATCTCAATTATTACTTGAGATATTCAATTGAAACTTACAATACTTATTTATAGTAACAAGGTACATCAGATTGACAAGTTGGATAACTCTGCCTACAATATTGACAGAATTATGCCCCTTTTTAACTTAGAAATTTTGGTTAAAGTTTTTTGTAAAGTCAAATATCTCAATTATTGCTTGAGATATTCAATTGAAACTTACAATACTTATTTATAGTAACAAGGTATATCATATTGACAAGTTGGATAACTCTGCCTACAATATTGACAGAATTATGCCCCTTTTTAACTTAGAAATTTTGGTTAACGTTTTTTGTAAAGTCAAATATCTCAATTATTGCTTGAGATATTCAATTGAAACTTACAATACTTATTTATAGTAACAAGATACATCAGATTGACAAGTTGGATAACTCTGCCTACAATATTGACAGAATTATGCCCTTTTTTAACTTAGAAATTTGGTTTAAAGTTTTTTGTAAAGTCAAATATCTCAATTATTGCTTGAGATATTCAATTGAAACTTACAATACTTATTTATAGTAACAAGGTATATCATATTGACAAGTTGGATAACTCTGCCTACAATATTGACAGAATTATGCCCCTTTTTAACTTAGAAATTTTGGTTAAAGTTTTTTGTAAAGTCAAATATCTCAATTATTGCTTGAGATATTCAATTGAAACTTACAATACTTATTTATAGTAACAATGTACATCAGATTGACAAGTTGGATAACTCTGCCTACCATATTGACAGAATTATGCCCCTTTGGAACTTAGAAATTTTGGTTAAAGTTTTTTTGTAAAGTCAAATATCTCAATTATTGCTTGAGATAATCAATTGAAATTTAAAATACTTATTTATAGTAACAATGTACATCAGTTTGCAAAATTGCATAACTCTGTCTGCAATATTTGCAGAATTATTTGCCCCTTTGAAACTTAGAAATTTTGGTTAAAGGTTAACGGTCTTCAAAGATATTTACTTGAAACTTTACACATGCACTTAGGGTCATAATTGGAGGGTCATAATTGTATGTCACTGACCAAGTTCCATAACTCTATCATGCATTAAGGCTGATTCATATCCCCTTTTCTACTTAGTCTCTTCGTTAATGTTTACATGCAAGTTTTACATATCTCAATAACTATTAAAGATATTTATGTAAAACTTCACATATGCATTTAGGGTCATAATTGTAGGTCACTGACAAAGATCCATAATTCTATCTTGCATTTAGGCTGACTTTTCTCCCCTTTTTCAACTTAGAAATTCATGGTAAAGTTTTGCTTGTAAGCTGTTATCTCAATAACTACTAAAGGGTTTGTGCCTTTTTTGGGACAATTTTATGCATTCATAATAATAAAGTAGTGATTTACTTGATAAAACATCTTAATAACAAGCCTTTGTACCTTTTCTGTCAAATTTATGTATTCATAGGTAATTAGTATTATTATACTCAATAAAAAAACCTTGTGACATTACCTTTCGAATAGTCAAGCCAATTCTGTATAATTAGACTCTCTCTAAGGCCTATAACATGAATTTATAAAGAAAAATTAGCCCTTTTGTTAACTTAAAAAATTTAACAATATCAAGGCTCTTTTACTATCAAGCACTTAGAATAGTCGAGCATGCTGTCCTACAGACAGCTCTTGTTTTTATTGTCCTTACTCTAAATAAAAAAGGTTGAATTGAATAAATTTTTAACTCACTTGGTTGTAAAGTATACTTTTTTCTATTTATTTCTCATATAGATAATGGTGAACAGAACCCTTTCTTTGAGAAAATTGAAGAACTTTTGACCTCTTCCTTAGGTAAGTGTCATAAACATATTTACTTAAATACTTAGCAGGCTACCCAGAGGTCACATTGACCTTGTAGGTAAAAACGGTTTCCAATAAATAACTTAAAGAAATAAGAAATCTTAGGCCTAGGAACTTTAAACTTGGTACGGTGGTTGTGCGTAACCAGCAATTGACCCCAATCGATTTTAAGGTAAAGGGGTCAAAGGTTAAAGTCACATTGACCTTGTAGGTAAAAAACGGTCTCGGATCAATAACTAAAGAAAGCTTAGGCCTAGGAACTTCAAACATGGTACTGTGATTGTTCATGACCATTAGATGACTCCTATTTATTTTGGGGTAAAGGGGTTAAAGGTCAATGTCAAATTGACTGTGTAGGAAAAAATGGTTTCTGATCAATAACTTGATAAGCTATTGGCCTTTAAACTTTGTAGGTGCATTGGTCTTTGCCAGAAGATGGCCAGATTGATTTTTGGGTCAAAGGTCAAGGACTGGACAACCCATGGACCCTTGACCTTGAAGCTGTACATATGCATTGCTTTAGGTCAGAAGATAAACTCAATTTTTGGGGTTAAGGGTCAGAGATCAAGATCATATTGACCTTATATATGTAAAAATGCTTTCTAATCAATAAATATCCCAACAACTCTTTGGCTTTACCTTCAAACTTCACAGGTGCATTGGTCTTGGCCAGTAGATAACCCTGATTGATTTAAGGGTCAAAGACAGTTGTATGTAGAGATGGTTTTTGACCAATAACTTAACAACTCAAGTTGCCTTGGTTGATTTTTTTTAGCTCGACTATTCGCAGAATAATCAGTCACCCATTTGTCGGCTTCGGAGTCCCTGTGGTTAAGTTTTTGTGTGTAAGCTGGTATCTCCATAACTACTGAAGGGAATGGATTGAAAAACTTTACACACTTGTTCTATGTGATTATCTAACATGATTGGCACCAGTCCCATAACTCTGATTTGCTTTTTTGCATAATTATGCCCCTTTTTCAACTTAGAAATTCTTGGTTAAGTTTTTGCTTGTAAGCTGGTATCTCCATAACTACTGAAGGGAATGGATTGAAACTTCACACACTTGTTCTCTTTGATTATCTAACATGATTGACACAAGTCCCATAACTCTGATTTTTTTTTGCATAATTATGCCCCTTTTTCGACTTAGAAATTCTAGGTAAAGTTTTTGCGTGCAAGCTGGTATCTCCATAACTACTGAAGGCAATGGATTGAATCTTCACACATTTGTTCTCTGTGATTATCTAACATAATTGACACAAGTCAAATAACTCTGATTTGCTTTTTTGCATAATTATGCCCCTTTTTCGACTTAGAAATTCTAGGTAAAGTTTTTGCGTGTAAGCAAGTATCTTAAAAACTTTGTAAAGGAATGGATTGAAACTTCACACACTTGTTCTCTGTGATTATCTAACATGATTGGCACAAGTTCAATAACTTTGATTTTTTTTTTTTGTATAAGTATGCTCCTTTTTGGGCTTAGAAATTCTAGGTAAAGTTTTTGCTTGTAAGCTGGTATCTCCATACCTTCTGAAGGGTTTGTGCTTTTTTTTGAACAATTTTAAGCATTCATAATAATAAAGCAGTGATTAACTCGATAAAACATTTTAATAACAAGCCTTTGTACCTTTTCGGTCAATTTTATGTATTCATATAGGTCAGCATTATTATACTCAATGAAACTCCCTTATGACAACTTTTCGATCAGTCGAGCAATACTATCCTCTGACGTTCTTGTTTATTAATCTAAAAATGCTTTTGGTATACACATTTTAGGGTCATATGTAATATAACAACTTGGCTGTCATTAATGAGGCCTAATTGATTAATTAAATTTACGCATATGTTATTTGGTATGATTTGTGATAACTTTGTCATAAAATTGCTGTACACAACCTTTCTGTCACAATTACCTAGTGACTAGTCATGACCAATAATTAATCCTTAGTTACTTATTTTTGGTCACTAGGTCAAAAGTCAGTCATAATAACCTGATCACATGACTTATTGGGTGCCGATAGGGGGCATACGTGTTTTACAAACATATCTTGTTACCATTGGGTTAGACCGATGTTATTTTATCTTACACTAGTATTCAATGTGTAGATTATCTATGTACAGTCTGCCTTTACTGCATAATCTGGTTAGAGCTAGAAGAATGTATTACAATTACAGTAAAAACCCGCTTTACGACCACCCCGTTTTCGAGAACGATTTTTTTATTCTTTATTTCATTGGTCGCCAACCACAATTTTGAGACCACCCCGTTATTCGGTAAAACGACCAGTAAATCCAGTCCCGTTTCGTAAATTATGTACATTTGGAAACCCATAAATACGACCGCGGGCACTTTCTCACCTTGATATTGATGTGCATTGTATATTGCTGAAATCTTTTTGACACGTGATGTTAACAACAGTTGTCCTAGTGTTACGACATTTAACGACATCCAATTTATGGCAGAGGTCATGGTTAATTTTTGTCAAACCCGGAAATAATCAATAATTGCCAATAATGTCTTAATTTCACACCTTTAATGTCATAATTGTAGGATTAAAATAACAAAATATTGAACAGAAAACTTTCGGTAAGTTTTTAGCTCGACTATTCGATAAGAATAGGTAGAGCTATTGCAGTCACCCGAGCGTCGGCGTCGGCGTAACCACTTATGTTAAAGTTTTTGTAATAGTTCAAATATTTTCAAAGTCCATTGACATATGGCTTTGAAACTTTGCACACTTGTTCACCATCATGTCCCCAATCTGTAGACAGGAGGAGGTAACTCTATCAAGCATTTTGACAGAATTATGCCCCTTTTTCGACTTAGAATTTACATTAAAGTTTTTGTAATAGTTAAAATATTTTCAAAGTCCATTGACATATGGCTTTGAAACTTTGCACACTTATTCACCATCATGACCCCAACCTGTAGACAGGAGGAGGTAACTCTATCAAGCATTTTGACAGAATAATGCCCCTTTTTCGACTTAGAATTTACGTTTAAGTTTTTGTAATAGTTCAAATATTTTCCAAGTCCATTGACATATGGCTTTGAAACTTTGCACACTTGTTCACCATCATGACCCCAATCTGTAGACAGGAGGAGGTAACTCTATCAAGCATTTTGACAGAATTATGCCCCTTTTTCGACTTAGAATTTACGTTAAAGTTTTTGTAATAGTTCAAATATTTTCAAAGTCCATTGACATATGGCTTTGAAACTTTGCACACTTGTTCACCATCATGACCCCAACCTGTAGACAGGAGGAGGTAACTCTATCAAGCATTTTGACAGAATTATGCCCCTTTTTCGACTTAGAATTTACGTTAAAGTTTTTGTAATAGTTGAAATATTTTCCAAGTCCATTGACATATGGCTTTGAAACTTTGCACACTTGTTCACCATCATGATCCCAACCTGTAGACAGGAGGAGGTAACTCTATCAAGCATTTTAACAGAATTATGCCCCTTTTTCGACTTAGAATTTACGTTAAAGTTTTTGTAATAGTTAAAATATTTTCAAAGTCCATTGACATATGGCTTTGAAACTTTGCACACTTGTTCACCATCATTACCCCAACCTGGAAACAGGAGGAGGTAACTGTATCAAGCATTTTTATGCCACCGCAGCATCTGCGATGCGGTGGCATATAGCGATTCACCTGTGTGTTTGTTTGTGTGTGTGTGTGTGTGTTATATAGATTATATAGTGA